TACATTAAAATTTAATCAGGCTTTTAAAAAGGCAATTTCTTTACCAGTTTCCATTTCACTAAAGCTTTTCCTTTTTCCTATTAGCTATTCCATTAGCTTTGTCATTTAGCTTTTCCATCAACCTTTGGGTCGGATGCTGCTAAAACAAATCAGACACCCGAAACAAGCTTCATTGTACAATTCAGTATTTATGAATACGAAAGGCTTTATTGCTGTTTCCATTTCCAAGACGAACAGTAATAATTCTCTCCTGAAAAACACCAACCAACGCAACCAAATTAAACTTTGGTCGCTATTTGTAATTTTAGCAAATGATGGAAATAACCAAGTTAAGTTAAATGCCAAGTAACAGCTTGTGTTCCCGTAGAGCCAAATTGTTGGGTGAATGATAATAAAGCCAACAAACACTGTTTCATGTGGCAAGGTCAAACGTCTGGAAAAGTATCACAGAGCTGGTGATAAACCAGAACACCCACTGTCGCCCGCCAAAAGAAAAGATTGACTTTTTATGGACTGGCTGGAATTACAGCGGAAGTTAACCTCATCTGTGTCAACAGTGCAGGACTCAAACATGATCCCAGGTTTAAAGATGTGGAAGAATCTGACTTCATTCCACAGTGATTGGCAGCAGGTTTTTCAATATGTTGCAGAAATTGGACAATGCACGTCCTTTCTCGCTTTTCAAAGTTTCGCTTCCTGCTTATCTGTTCATACTGGCAGCGGGGAGAAGACTGCCGGATGCATTTTCATTGTAAGTGATCCTCGCTCATATTTTCTCAGGTAGCTCTTCAATAGAAAGTAACAAACCAAATTTCACCGAGACGAGCGAGAGAGAAAATACAAATGATTGCTCCCTTTCTTCCTCTGAAAGTGTGACTCCTGGTTGGAGCTCGGAGAAGGTGGTGAAGTGGTGGATGCTGCAGGAGCGTTTTGAGAAGTGTCAACGGACATTTACTTCCAAAGTGAAAGTGACCCACCGTTCAGACGTATTGTAACTGCTGTGAAGTAAATCTGTCGACAGCTGTGCTCCTGAATGAGAAAAGCGAGCTACGAGCCTTTCACAGCTGAAACTCAAGGTTACAGAGTGAGAATGTTTGACATTCAAAAACAAAAGAGTGGAGTTTATTTCAATCTGCTTCATTGAAGGACATGAATTTCCTTCAACTGTTCGAGGCCAGAGGATTATTTCTTACATATTTTGACATGTTCGCCATTAACCTCTTTGTCTTGCAGCTGTAAGAGACGTGTGATGCTTCCTACCTTCAGTAGTAGGTGATACTTGAGAACCCTCTGCATGGGAACCACCAGAAGATCCTGCAGCTTGAACTTCCCCTCCTGCACCTTTAAGGTACATTCCTGCGGGATGACACGAGCATCGGCGGGGCAATCATTACACATAATGCACCATTGTGAATTCCCCCCCACTAACAAGCCCTCGTTCATTATTTAATCATCCATTATGTCTGGTTGCACTGGTGCTGTAGCTTTCACACATCCACGCGGCTCCATTAACAACAACGAGGCCAGTTTATTCTTCCAGGGCAGAGGAGCTCTGGACGTTGTTTGTGACACAATTAGCGCGCAGGCCGACGGCTGGATTCCTCCGGCTAATGTTTACATTTTTATATTCTGGCTCCACAAGAAACTGACCTTTGTTGGAATCTTCCTATAATGTTCCCTCACAGACATAAGTGTGGGAGCAGTTCAGTTTTTATAGCTGAGCCGTAACAAAATCCACTTATCGAAGGTTTTAGAGTGAAGCAACAACAGGAAGCTGTTTGACTCTGTTACAAAGCTTCTCTATTTTAAGAGAGCTATAATCATCTCATTCTTTTTGTCAACAGCTCCCACAGTGTTCCTCTGTCCAGGCTCGCTGCTGATGTGCCTGAACCCCATGATTACATGAGGGTGTTAGCTCTATGCTATCATCAATTCGGATTCTGGTTTGGATAAGGTTGGGGAATAATAGCTGCAATAGTTGCAATATCTTGCAGCAAAAAGAAACTCCAAATATCTTGGTTGCACACTGCCTTTCACTGTTGCATTGTGGGAAACAATGACCACACTTTTGCTTGTGGCATAAACCACTGACAGGGAAAAACATAAAATCATAATATTCATGAAGGCTGAAGAAGCTAATGTTTATGTTGTTACTGAGTGATGGGATTCACCCACTTTTTAAAATGATGGGGGACATTACCTCCACTTTAATCTTGACGTCCTCCCGTGTCGCTATTAGCTCATCCAGTGTCTTCTGGGCGTTTTCCATGTGACTGCAGTACAGACCATAGATCAACAACCTGGAGAGAGACACAATTCAACAACTGTTAAACCCAATAACCTTCAGTCAAACCCTCTTATAGAAACATTGCATCTTGTGATCGTTCCAAATATTAGCAGTTGCATGTGTTTTATTCAAAGCTCACGAAATTTTCCATAAAGTAAAAAAGAGGCTTTAATAAGTACTAATGAATCCATTCTTAAATCTTTTCTAAAAAACACAGAGTCAAAGAAGAAGATCGCTGCTTGAGTCCACAATTATCTCTCAGCTGGTTCCTATCACGGAGCCTTGAGGCAATGCCCTGCACATTCATTTTAAGATTAATAACACAATTTGAGAGGTCAGCCTGAGGATCATCTGGCACTATGGGGGCAGATAAATGAATATGTGAATACATGTATTATGATTAGGAATAGATGTGAATTCCATAAATAAATAATGACCGGGTTCTCATCCCTGGGCAATATTTGGAAGGGGGGGGGGCTCCTCTTGCAAATAAGCTGTAATCACAGAGCACAAATGAAAGATGCTGCGTTTTATCAGTTGTTGCTCTTATCAGCATGAGAGGGAGGAAAAAAAATCTCTTAATTTCCAGCAGTGAGGATATGAGAGCGGTGTTCATTAGATATTACAACGGGACCCTGACACAGATCTGTGGGCTCAGATGGGAGGGAGCTGAAAGTCATCTCGCCGGGAGGACGCCGGCACACATTCCTCACTCTCGCTGAGTCAAAGTAGGGCATTGGCACGGCTGGTATGGTGCCAATCGCCCCCTGGTGGTGTTGGCACTCAATCTCTCAATCTGAGTCTTGAATGGGGCGAGGTGGTGCAGAGAGCTGGCAGCCTGACGACTTAATCAAGCCTCTGATAGATGTGTGACGCAGACACACAGAATGTATACACACCATGATATCCATCCATCCGTTATGTCTACAGCTTAAGTTATAAATGCCATATATACTTAAATATTCCTTCAAGTATATTTTAAAAGGATTTCAGTTTTCTTTTCCCAAAACTCTAACTGTTACAAACGGGTGATTCTACATTATTAATACAAAAGCATCATATGAATTATTCTGCTGCAGAAATATTTCCAAAATGTCGAGGCTGTGAATGTATGATTCAGTGTCATGCTTTGCCAGAGGTGGAACTGTGAACACAGAAGAACAAACTGCTCCTTAAAAGCAGCGTCTCCATCACACCCTCTCGAACAGAGACCGACCGGGGAGACGATCACTGGAGCCCAGGCACGAGATTTGCCTAAGGACCCCCTGCAGAGACGCTCCTACCCTGCATGGTTAAACCAGCTGTGGGCAAAACTCTGCCCCTGATTAAGACTTGAGCCGCAGTAGGAGAGACAGCTCCCCTTAGCTTCCCGCTCCTCCAGGACGGCAAAGTGATTGAGATTAATGGGGGCTTTGATCAATTAGAAGACAGCAGGCGAACCGAGCAGCGTAGCGAGGATCCAGGGGCACGTGCCAGAGACACCCATCATATAGTGGGGACACAATGTGACGTGGAGGTCTTCTTTAAAGAAGCTGCTCCATGACAGGAATGCAAAGTGCTCACGCTACTGGAGTGAATGTGGGAAGATGAGGAAAAGGAAGGCGGAGCAGCATCTCCTGAGGTTTCGCCTCCTGACAAAAGTTAAACACAGCAGATCTGATGGAGTTTGTTTCAACATTTTGAGGAAAGTTTACTTTGCAGTGGAACCAAATTAAGCTGATGTTAAGCCCTTTTTCCACTGGTCAAAAAAAAACACGAACACCCACCCACACCTTACATCTGGCTTTTGTCTGCAGGGGGAATCTACTTTTACTTCTGGGTCAAATGACTCTGCAGTAGAAACAGATTTTGTTTTAATCAGGTCCTGCTCTGATCTGCAGGGATGGAAACAGGGGCTGGCAGTCTGCACCTTTTCTGGTGCGATGATATCACACATATTGAACTTCCAGGTGTTGGTGCATAAATACCCATCAACCTTGTTTTTTCTAACATTGCAAGATGCAACACTGGCAAGACAGCGAGGTGAGAGGTTGAGTTTCTGGTGACGTTGAAAATGACTCAATTGGAAAAAGAGACATTTGTTTGTGTGTGTGTGTGTGTTTATGTGTACCACTGGGTGCTGGGGACACTTCATGGTTCAAGCTCATCCCTCTCATCATCCACATTTTTGTCTTCAGCACTAAATTGCAGGTAAATAAAGTTTGTATCTAGTTGGTTTTTCGGAGCATCTAAATAACGGCATTCCTTCCTGGCATGAAAGTATCACACCCAAGGTCTTGTCATCACAAACAACTCGTCAATAAAAGGCTAATGTGTTAAATGTAAATGATATTTTTAATAACAGCTTTCCATCTGAGACACGAGACCTCTTCCCTGAGACAGGCAGCGGGACAAAACAGCTAATGACAGTCTTGTCCCAGTCAGCCATTATTAGTGATATGCACATTCTCTTCTTGACACCTTGTGTAGACACATCGCAGCGGGAGGTAAGTATTCATCATTTCCTGTTTTCTCCCTGCAGCTCTGCCTGAATCAAATCCCGAATGTTCTGAATATTTCAATTAAATTACTAATCGTAAGGTAGCAATGAAGCGTCTTAGCAGCCTTTTGCAAAACAACTAAAGTAACCTTGAGAGATCGGAAACGGTCGAAAATAATTTACTCTGAACGTCTCACGTGGAATATTTACTCAGCGACAGAGAAGCATTAATAGTGAAAATGCTTCCTTGTTTTTGCACCTTCCGTATGCATTTGAGCAAACATTGATTTTCCTCAAAGCGATGGATATATGAATTCTTGACAAGAAGGAGGGAAAACAGAGGATTACGTGTTTATATGCGTTTCATTGATTTTCCTCTCACTGAGCCGAGTGGAAATATGAAGAAGATGCAGTTAACTGACAATGATCAGGGAAAAGGGTGGATTTTATGTCGAGGGAGACAAAAAAATAAAAGACAAAGTTATCTCAGTCCTCGAAACAGCCGGATGAGGGTCATTAAGTTTTACTTGTTAACTCGCAAAGAAAAGCAGGCATTTTTATTTTCTACGATTAGGACCAATTGGCAAGTTTTTACTTGGGCCATTAGAAAAGCTGCAGCAGTTCAACATTCAAAGAAAGACATTTCCTACCAAGAAAAAAGGCAGAGCACAGATTTGTTTGGGAGTTTTCCTCTGGGCGGTACAGTTTGCTGGTGCAGTAAAAACTTGCTGTATATATTGTTTTCTCGGCACCGGGGTTATCGCCCTGCTGTGCTGGCCTCTTTCATAATGAGGATGCTGTCGTGCATGTTATTTCACAGGAAATGCAATTTTGAGTAGCTGCACTCTGGGCCCCCCCCCCTAACCCGCCCCGGCTGAGCCCCGTGAGCCGAGCCAGGCGACTGAGGAAATCTCCCGGCAAACCAAAAGTGACAGGGTTGTGGAACCAGCTAATATTCTCTGACACATGGCATTGGGACCCCCTCACCTCCACTCAGCATAGCCGGCGTACATTAAATGGAGGAGAACAAAGAGCAAAGACCTCCGATAAAGAGGCTCGGAGTGCGGCTGTGATTAGGCACCGCAAGGATACGGGGGGAACAAGATTACTCCAGGAAATGAGTCGGGGAAAGTCGCAAATGAGGACATCAACAAGAGGGTACTTAGATGCCCATTTAGTTATAGAGCCTCTCTGTGCTGTTCAATGCAGCCGGGTTCTCGCTGTTTAAGGATGGAGGAGCCGTCGAGATAAACCGGTGACATTTTCAGCGTGGCATTCACCTCAATGACAAACCAAAGAAAAGCGTTTCGTCTTTTGCGGTGATGTGAGAGAAAAAAGCAACAAGCACATTGTTGTAAAGGTCGCAGGGACTTACAAGCAGAGATAAGCAAATTATTTATGCCGAGGCAGGTCCTCAGGAAAATTGCCAGGATGCTTGATGAGAGCGACGCTGCGTGGGTCCAAATCTCCCTGGTCACTCTTGTTTACGGCCACGGAGAGACGAGACACCAAGGTGGCCGATAATGAGGCAGGTATACATGTCAATCACACGCAGGGAATCAAAGCCTGTGACGCACGGAATCTGCAAATCTAATGAATCCTTTTTCTCAAAATAACCCTGCGTCGCATTTTGGAAAATGTCGCAGAGGGTGATTAATAACAATGAATGGTATACGATAAGCAAATTTGGTTATGAATAGAAGGCAAATGTGGCATTTCTGTCGGAGACAGGAAGGTTAAAATCCATCACAGAACAAACAGGTCGAGTGTTGAGCTGTTTCCAGACTCGCACTGAACTCCAGGGGCTGCGTGTGAGGATGCAAATGGCCGAGTCAGTTGCTCCAGACATTCTCCGCAGTTTTACCAAGGGCCTGGGAGGAAACTCTCAAGAGTGAGATAAGGTCTGGTGCGTTGATGACGTTTCTAACACGTTACAGACGAAGAATACAAATATCTCAGGATGCAGATCTTTGGGAAGATAACGGGATTCGAGAGCTTTTGGTGATAAGGCTTTCATGTGCCACGGTCCCGGTCCTTTACTGGGACCTTCTCCAGGCTGGACCTTATCTGGGATTGCGTGCAAATTAAGACTCCCGACCACTGCTCAATCAGATCAGAGAGTCTCACGAGCTAAACGAGGGAGCGGGAGTGTGTGCATGCGTGTGTGAGATGGAGGGACAGAGTATGTGCCTGCCTCCGTCTATTAGTCGGAACAGAGTCTGTCGTGTCACACCCACTTTGCGTTACAGAGCCCTCAAGGCTTAAGGAAGAGGCCTGCGACGAGCCTATTACCTATGCAAACCGACATCACCCACAGAAATGCAGTGACTGTGTGTTTAAGAAGAAAAGTGTCCTATCAGGACGGCTGTGCAGAGTAATATAATACTTGTGTAGACGCAGACGTGCAGTGAAGTGTGAACTCACTCTGCTCCTGCAGTAATGACTGCATCATTCGACGACAGTGGCGTATCCATAGCCAAGAATACAATTATGACCGGGGCTAGAACCTATCATCACCATCATTATGATTATCTGTGAAGCAGCCGCACTCAGCAGGGAGGAAAATCACAGCTCCACTCGGGGATGCAATTTATCCACACGTTGCTCAGCAGCTGGGCCAAACAAAAAACCCGTCTGAGACAAAAGTGTGTTCAAAACTGTTTTCTCATCCAAATACTCTAGAGTTCTAAAATCCTTCACTTTTCAATCACTCCAGTGGAAACGAGCTCGTCGTTAGATTTCCCATTTTTGCAGATTGCTGCAAAGACTTATTTCATTCATTTTAAAGGAAATTATGTAATTTACCGAAAAACAAATGCAAAGAATATATAATGTACAAGGATGTGGCTGCACAGGAGGAACACAGGAATGTGACTGTGACACACTAATGCTTTCTTAAAAGGATTTACTCTGATTGTTTTTGGTTGAAAGAGCAACAATATATGCTAGCTCAGCTTTTAACCTGCTTATTCTCTGAACATTAATCCCATCAATCCCCCGACTCCGAGTGCGGCCAGAAAGAAAAACACATTTTCTTTCAATTAGCTTTAAGGGGATTTTAACTATATAAGTAAAACACAGCCTCAAAAACCTCCCACTGTGTGTATGTAGACATCGAATATGGATTTTAGGGGACGAACCTTTCCTTGAAGTCGAGGAAGATCTTCCCGAGGCCACTTCCTCCTGTGACCATGTTCAGGTCGATGGCTCGCAGCAGAGCAAAGTGGACTTTGATCACATCCTGAGAAAAAAATCCCAATAAATATTTATACACTGTCACATACATAGATAGATCTATATAAAAA